GGAAAGAGAGCCAGGACCGAGGCGCCCCTGGAAGACCCACGGGAAACGAAAAAACTAGCTCCTCATCCCGAGCCGAAGGGATCCACTGTTGACGTACCCTTGCGAGAGGCTCGGCCCGACCAGGCGATCAAGATCGGATCGGAGCTGCCCGAGCGGGAGCAGGAACGACTCGTCGGGCTCCTACGGGAAAATGCCGACATCTTTGCCTGGTCCCCATCAGACATGACGGGTGTAGACCCGGAGGTCGCGGAGCATCATCTCAATATCCCACCCGACGCTCGCCCAGTGAAGCAAAAGCCCCGGCGCCAGGCCCCTGACCGACAACGCACCATACAAGAAGAGGTGGACCGGCTCCTAGCAGTAGGCTTCATAGAAGAGGCCAAATATCCCCGATGGTTGTCCAATGTAGTACTCGTGAAAAAACACAACGGAAGCTGGAGGATGTGCGTTGACTACACCAGCCTTAACAGTGCGTGCCCTAAAGACTGCTACCCCCTTCCGAAAATCGACCAGTTGGTCGACGCAACAGTTGGGCACGCACGCCTATCCTTCATGGATGCCTATTCAGGGTACAACCAGATCAGGATGGCGCCCGAGGACAGAGAGCATACGGCTTTCCTCACCGATCAAGGGGTGTACTTCTACAAGGTCATGCCGTTCGGGTTAAAAAATGCTGGGGCCACATACCAGAGAACGGTGAACAAGATGTTCGCCCATCAGATCGGGAGGAACATGGAGGTCTACGTGGATGATATGATCATGAAAAGTCAAGAAGCCGAAACGCACCTTGCCGACCTGGCCGAGGCATTCGTCACACTGCGCAAGTTCGGCATGCGACTCAACCCCACAAAGTGTGCTTTCGGCGTCACCTCCGGGAAATTCCTCGGGTTCATCGTACACGAGAGAGGAATAGACGCCAACCCAGAGAAGGTTCAAGCAATAATCAACATGCAGTCCCCCCGAACGATTAAAGACCTGCAGCAACTTAACGGAAGGCTTGTCGCCCTGTCTCGCTTCCTCGCCCGGTCAGGCGATCGCTGCCTCCCGTTCTTCAAGGCGCTCAAAAACCCAAAGAACTTCCAATGGACATCGGAATGCGAAGAGGCCTTCAAACAAATGAAGCGGCACCTGGCCAGCCTCCCCCGCCTCGCCTCTGTCTCCCCTGGAGAGAAGCTGGGCCTCTATTTAGCGGCTTCCCTGCGAGCAGTCAGCTCTGTCCTGATTAAGGAAAGCTCCGGCCAACAACTCCCGATTTACTATATCAGCCATGTCCTGAATGGACCTGAGGAGCGTTACCCGCCAATAGAAAAACTCGCGCTCGCCTTGGTGCTCTCGGCTCGGAAGTTGCGTCCCTACTTCCAGGCACACCCGGTGGAGGTCATCACCAGCCAACCTCTTCGGCAGGTCTTAACAAAATTTGTTGTTGCAGGTCGACTCCTCAAATGGGCGGTGGAGCTCGGCGAACATGATATAAGATACGTGCCCAGGACCGCCATTAAAGCCCAGGCAGTGGCCGACTTCATCGCGGAGTTAACTCAGATGGAGGACGGAGACCCCAAGCAAACCCCCGAAGCTTGGACCCTACACGTGGACGGCTCGGCCAACTCAAGGGGTGCCGGTGCGGGACTGGTCCTCCTTGCCCCTAACGGACGTTCGTTCGAGCGTTCCCTCCGCTTCGGGTTTAAAGCCACCAATAACGAGGCGGAATACGAGGCGCTCCTAGCCGGACTAGGGCTGGCCCTCGAGATGCAGGTAGCCGCGATACACGTCCTCACCGACTCGCAGCTCGTGGCCGAGCAGCTCAGCGGCGGATACGAAGCCCGGGACCCAACCATGGCGAGATACCTGGCATGGGTAAGGGACCTAACTGCCAAGTTTCAATACTTTACATTATCCAACATTCCGAGGGAGGAAAACGAACGAGCCGACGCGCTAGCTAAGCTGGCGTTGAAGCCGACCTCCGAGGCACGGCCGGAGGTTGAGGAGCTCCCTGCTCGCGCCATTGAAGTGGCGACTATGGCCTCAGGCGGCACGCCGACCACGTGGGTGCAGGAGCTGCTGTGCTTCAAGCGGGATGGAACCCTTCCCCTCGACGAAGCAGTGGCTCGGCGCCTACGTCGCATGCACGCATGGTACACCGAGGAGAGTGGCCGACTTTACAAATGGTCCTTCACCTACCCCCTCCTGCGATGCTTGGAGCCTGACGAAGCCCAGACGGTCCTAGCCGAGACCCACGAGGGGGTCTGTGGCGAGCACGTCGGCGGGCGAACCTTGGCGCACAAGATACTCCGCCAGGGCTACTATTGGCCGAACATGTGCCGGGACGCGAAAGCTTACGTGCGGCGGTGCAGGTCGTGCCAGCAACACGCCCGCGCACCCCGACAGCCAGCGGTCCCGCTCAGCCCCATCGACTGCGCGTGGCCATTCGCGCAGTGGGGTTTGGACCTCCTCGGGCCCTTCCCACCAGCTTCTGGACAACGGAGGTACATAATCGTAGGAGTGGACTACTTCACAAAGTGGGTCGAGGCCGAGCCGCTGGCGACGATCACAGAACATCAAGTGGAGAAGTTCGTGTGGAAAAACCTGGTAACTCGGTTTGGGCTGCCCAAGGCCATTGTCACGGACAACGGACCTTAGTTCGCCGACAGAAGGTTCCGGGAATTCTATGCCGGTCATGGCATTCAACTGAGGTACAGTTCGGTGGCCCACCCTCAGACGAACGGGCTGGCGGAGGTAACCAACCGATCCATCTTGGACGGACTCAAAAGGAGAGTGTCCGTAGCCCGATCGGTCTGGACAGATGAACTCCCCAGTGTACTATGGTCGCTGCGCACCACTCCTAAGGCCGCAACCGGGGAGTCCCCGTACAGCTTGACGTTCGGGACCGAAGCCGTCTTGCCACCCGAGATGGCTGTTGCCACCCTCCGGACGAGGAGCTATGACCAAGAAGTCTCGAACGAAGGACTTTGTGCCGGTCTCGACATGCTCGAGGAACGACGCGCTGACGCGCACCTAAAAGCCCTCTCTTACCAGAGAGTCGTCGCGAGGGTCTACAACAAAAAGGTAAGACCCCGACCGATCAAGTTAGGGGACCTAGTCCTGCGAAGGGTCGAGGTCAACGACCCGACCCGAGCAAGGGGGAAGCTGGCCCCCAAGTGGGAAGGACCTTATCGGGTCACCGAGGTGATTCGACCAGGTACTTACCGACTCACGACAATTAATGGTTCTCCCTTGCCGAGAACCTGGAATGTCTGGAACCTTAAGAAGTTTTTTGTCTGAAGTAGCGAAACCTTTTTTGAAACCTTGTCGGGCCACCAAGGTGGTCCGACCAGGTGCTGAAAGCAAGCCGAGAGAAGAAAAAGTTTTTTTCACCCAAAAGGGGAGAAGACAGCAATCGAGATAAGAAAAGGTTATCTTTTGTATTGAAAGCAAGCCCACTTACAAGACACGACTTACAAAAGCCTGACCAAAAAACAAAATACAAAACCCCTTTTTATTTTTGGGGGACCTCTAGGCGATCGTCGAAGGGGACCTCCTCGGGCATGTCCACCCACCGGTCCTCGGGGTGAGGAGTAAAAGGATCCTCCTCCACCTCGAGACCCGGGTGACGAGCACGAAAACGGGACGTGGCGATACGGTATCCGTATTCGAAGGACACCCGCCCCGTCCGCGTCAGCCTGAGCTCAAACCCCTCCGACCTCTTGTAGGCCTCGAGGAGCTCCTTGTCTCTCGCGGGTCGGAGACGGGCCTCCTCCGCCAGCGCCTCCGAGGCCGTCTTCGCCTCAGCCTTCGCCGCGTCCAGTTTTTTATTGAGGGCACCCGCCTCCGTCTTCAATAGGCGGAGTTCGGTCCGCTCCACCCTCATTATTTTCTGGAGCCCCTCGTTCGCCTCCTTCGAGGCCTCAAGCTCCGACCGGATGCTCGCCGCCTCCGCCTCCAGACCCGCCGCACGCTTTTCCGCGACCGCCACGACCTCTGGGTCGACCCCAGCTTGAACCTCTGCGATCTGGCGGTGGAGCTCGGCGTTGCGATGGACGAGGCCCCCAATGACTCGCCCGGCGTCGCGCACCCGGTCCATCAGGGCCACCGCGTAGTGGAGACCCTGCGTAGAGGGAAACGGATCAAGAAGGTTGGCATCAGATGGACGAACCAGGAAAACGGGAACACGCTTACCCAGGTCAGTGACTGGGCCGACTTGTTGAGCAGTGCCTCCGAGGGCAGAACATACAAGTCCCGAGCCATATCGGGATGGAGTGCGCCTCGGAGGAACGCCGCGGAGGGATCCCCTCCGGCCCATACCTTAGACCCCCGAGACAAGCCCTCCCAGCGGGGAACCAGGGGGTCGCTGAGCTCACCGGGCAGGAGCTCGCTCGCCAGCTGCGTTAGGTACGGCTCCCCGTCTCTGGCAGGAAGCCGGCAGAGGTCGCGCACGGAGACAGAGTGAAGACCCCTCCCGGGCCTCCGCCGGCTGGGGCCTGCCCCTCCGCGATGAGAGCTTGCCTCGGACCCCTTCGGCGGAGTCATCTTCGCCTTCTTCGAAGGGCGCCCAGCCTCGATCTCCAGCGGGGCGCCCTCCGAGCCGGGTAGCGGTTCGGTCGGCGGAGCGGGAACTGGAGGTTGTGGATCGGTGGGCGAAGCTGGAAGGGGGAGCTCCGAACCCTGACCCCCCAAGAGCGAACGCAGATTCACCATGTCTGCGAGGAACAAAAGAAGTTAGTACCCGGAGCCAACCACGCAAGCGCCCGGACAAAACATAACCAGACATACCCAAAGGCGTCGGGCTGAGGCCCGCCTCGACCAGCCATTGCTCGGTCATGGTACGGATGGCCTATGACCTAGGGAGAATTTCCTTGAGCCTCACTAGAGCTTGGCGCTCTGCTTCACCCAGACATGGGGTGGTGTTATCGATCGCCCTCGCGGACCACCGAACCCCGAAACCCCAGTCCAGCGCGCGGCTGACATAGAAGAACCTCCCCTTCCACCCCTTGTTACTGGAAGGGGCACCGCCGACCCGAAAACCCGTCCGGGCTGACAAGAAATAGCCCCACGAACCCTTGCAGAGGCGGTAGCAGGAGAGAAAGAGGTTGAGAGTGGGGGTGATATTGGCGTAATGGCACTCCCCCAGGAATACCACCAGGTAACGCCAAGAGTTTGGCGCCACCTGAGATGGCGAAATCCGCCAGAGAGACAGGCATGAGGTTATGAGGGGGTGAAGAGGAAAACGCAAGCCCGCCTCTAGGGCGTCGAGGGTCAGGGCGAAGCCCTTCGGGACGGGGTCATACGCCCGTTGACCCGGCTCGGAAGCGCTGAGAATATGGTCCTTCGGGATGTTATAGCGCACCCGAAGTTCCTCCAGCAGGGCCCCGCTCACGGTGGAATCAATGTCATGCGGTTACATCAGAGCCTCAAGGGCTCGCGCCGCTTCTCCGTCGGAGGACCTGGTGGGAGACAGAGGGGAACTTCCCTCCCCAGCTCCGAGGACACAAAGAGAAGAAGAGGATGAGAAGGAAGGAGGAGAAGAAGGAGACGACATCCCGACTGACCTTAAGAAGAGGGGAGGAGTACACAGAAGACGGAAGGGGACCGAGGAGGCAACAGTGTAACTCGAAGGAGAAAGTACGGCTGCGAAAGATGGGAGCGGAGTCGGACCTCCGTCATTTAAAGGGGGCAACTCGCCAGAACCAGCGCCCCTTCGCTTCCCAAGGACGGGCGGCAGCCCACTCACCCGCAGCCGTCACGTCACATCGGGAGGCCCCCAAAAGGCGCCCCGCATTAATAGGGGCCTGACGTGGCGGCCAGCGGCAGCGCGGTGCGAAGTACGGAGGCGCCCAATTATATCAGCTTCGAGAACAAGCGACTCCCAAAAAGGGGGAGCCCGTTACCTTCCCCAGGGAAAAAGCAACCTGGTCTCCCGTGCCCGCGCGCAGTCAGGCGACCAATTGAATGGCCAAAGAACCAAGTGCCACTCCTCGGCCCTCAGCTTTCCGCCTCCCGAGACACACCTGCGCGGTCACCCCGCTTGCATTGCGCACCTCGACCCTCGTCGGCTCCATTACCCCCGAGTCCAATCCTCCTCAGCCTCCCGACTAAGTCACGCGTCTCGGCCTAGTGCTGCCCGAGATGCATTCACGCGGCCGACCCGTCTACGGCGCGCCCCTTAGGCCCGCTTGAACAGCTCGCTTGAAGCAGAAAGCCATGCATCGGACTCCCTACCTGAAAAATCGACGCATAGCTCCTTTCGGGTGGGGCATATGATAGGGGTAAAAAAATTGATTTGACATAACACCCCGGATTTGACGTAATACACCACCACGCCAGACACCCTGTGCGGCACGTGGCTCCTGAACGAGCATTAACAACGACACGACGCGCACCTACACCCACCATACCCAAGCCACCTCCTCGGCTGACCCCTCGTGGCCGGTCAAGGCAGGGGAAGGCGCTGACTGACACCCCCCATACCCTGCGGCAGCTCGGCCTTCCACGCAACGACCACAACGACAGACGCCATCAGAGGTACGGCCCCGCCCCGGTAGGATGGCATGTCAGGTAACATCAAACCCACTTATAAATACCCCCTGGCTCCCAATAGGAAGGGGGGGACAATCTCACAAAAATACTCCATTCTGCTTCACTAACTTAATCGTCGGAGGGGCCGGGCCAAGCAACCGACCCGACCTGTGTGCAGGTACTCGACCGCCACTTAATCCGCTCGACGCCACGGAACTTTCCTGCCAGCAGCCCCCGTGGCAGCCACCGCAACCACCCAAGAGGAGCCACGTCTGATCCCAGCCATTTGGAGCCCTGAACCAGCCGCGTCGACCCCGAGGTCACGGCTGAAAAAGTTAGTTACCTTAACAGATCCCTTATTGGTTTATATGATGATTGCACCCGCAAACCACTAATATACAACAAAGACAGTTTCTCAGTTCACTAGAATCTCATAATAGTTAGTATCTAATGCATGCCACGGTAATCAGGGCTGCAATGGTTGGAAAAGGTCTCCAAAAGGGCCACTTGTGTTTTTTCAGCTTATCAAGAAAAAGCCAGCCTTTCAATTTTCGAAAAAGGAGGCTTTCCATTGTCGTTTTTATTTGATGGAGAGCTCATTTTCACTGTAAACTTGTTCCTAGTTTCTGTGTTAATCAGAGAATATCAGAAAGACCTCAGTGAACATAACATGTTCAACCATCAATATATCCATCATCATCATCTTCTTCTTCTTCTTCTTTCGTTTCAGAGGGAATGAATACGAAAAAGCAACTCTACTTTTCTTGATAATTGTCCAAGATGTTATCTTTCCAGCAATATATAAAACAAATAAGGGAGAAAGGTTACCTGGGAGTATAGAAAAGTTCCAAGAATGGCAATGGCTGCACCGAGGGCGTTTTGGGCTGGACGGGTGTGTGGAAGACTATGATGGAGGAGACGATAACAGATATCCTCTTCATGGTGTTTCCAATGCTAAATGTCAACGGCGAGATTTCGTCCAGCGACATATAGGAAACTTGATTGTACAAGTGGTAGAACACACTTTGGGCTGCCACCCACCTAATCAAATTAAATTCACATACACCGACTGCATTAGCTACAACAGTCAGTCTCTTTATAATGTGGTGTAACCAATAAAATAAAAT